AAAAAAAAAAAAAAAAAAAAATCTATAAAAAACAAGATTTTTTGAAGTCAACTCATTAATAATGTGTCCTAGTGTTCTCAAAAGAGAATCTGTAATGTTCACAGACCTCTAACAACTGAATATGTGGGGAAGACTAGAAGTCAGGTAGATAAGTGAGTCCCTCTTTTCTTTCCCTTTGAAGGAAAAGTCAACCCAAGTGGGAAATATAAATGTATGAGTCTGTCTGGTTAGCTGTGTTTTACTGGACTGGGCCAAGGAGCCAGGGGCTCTGGCTTCTGCAGCTGCTAGACATGGCTTTGAGGAGATGTCACCCATCCCCACGGAGAGGGACAGACAGAAATACTCTGAATGTCCTTACCACCCCAAGGGCTTGTGTCCAACATCAGTGATTCTCAAACTTGAGTGTGGGTCAGAAGCACCTTGAGGCCTTACTAAAACACAGATTGTAGGCCTATCCCTGAGTGTTTTAGATGTTTTTATTCAGGAGTCAAGGGTAAGGCCTGAGAATTTGTATTTCTAACAAACTCCTGGGTGGAACCAGTGTCAGTGGTTTGGGGATGAAATGTGGAGAACCACTACTGTAAAAAATGCCAGCCTCCTAAACCAGGCAGGAAGTTTAGTTTCTTCTTTCACTTCTTTCAGAGAGGTATGAACCCCTCCTCCCTCTCATTTCTGAGGTTCAACTTCCCTATCTCTTAAATACAGCATTCCCAGATATCATACAGGACAACCAGTTAGATCTGAATCTCTAGCTAGGAATGGTAGGGCATACCTGCAATCTCAGCACTTGGTGAGGCTGAGGAAAGAGGATCGCAAGTTTGAGCCCAGCCTGGGCAACTTAGCAACTTCATGAAACCTCTTCTCTAGATAGATAAATGGATGGGGAATTAAAAATAAATAAATAAATAAACTAATAAAGAGCTAGAGATGTGGCTCAGTGGGAAAGCCTAGTACTGCAAAAAAATTAAAAGACTGAATTTCTGGTAGACAACAATTACTATGCATGCTTATGACATACATAATTTGCTACTTATCTGAAATTCAAATATTGTGCTCATTAGCTATGTTCTTAATCAAACTATTAAACTTCTTGGTTTTGTCAAATAGATGGGAGATGGTAACAACAGTTACCTTTCAGGGTTGAGTTAAGGACTTAAAATGACATATGTGAAGTCCCAGGATTTTAATGAGAAGCTGATGAATGGCTTCTCTGACTACTTAGCCTGTCACATCACAAAGCTGATGTTCTTAGCAGAGGCACAGAAGCCTCATCAATAGTAACAGCCACATTCATCAGGGTGAAAGCTGCCAGTCCCTGAAGCATAGCATTTTTTCAAACCCAGAGAGACTCTACCTCATCACTTTCTCTTGCCCCAGGCTACAAGCTTATGTTCCTGATGCTTCGTTTAAGTCCCCAAAGTGCCCAGGAGTGCCTGATACACTTGGCATTCAGTAAATATTAATGAATGCTGACTTCTTTGTGGTGAGATGCACCCGTTTTCACTCTTCCCCTCTGGTTTGCACTTACTGGGGTACCTGCGGATTATTCTGAAGGGCTTGTAGTTCTGGTCTGTCTCTTTGATATGACAGACATATTTCTCATTTAACTTGACTGGATATTTCAGAACAGAGTACACCCGATACAGGCCATTCATCTGCTCCTCCAGGACCTCAACTGTACTGTGATTACTCAGGTCCCTCTCGCCCCGGTCCAACCAGGTCACATTGGGTGCAAAGTACCAGCCCTTGGAGATGCAAGTGGCCACATCCTCCTCGCCAATCTTGTCAAATTGCACCTGGGGCATTTCAGAGTCTGGATGGAAAAGATAACAAAATAATTAGTTCCTTTTTACTTTCAGCCCCAGGAGGCTCAGGCTAGCAGAAATCTTGCCCTTGGCTTTTACATTAACCCGTTATAGAGCCAATGCATCTGGAGGTGGATTATTGCTAATATTGTGGTGCAAGCATAAAGAGAAAAGAGCAGGATACAAATATGGTCCTGTCCTCCAGCTCTCACCTACCCCTGCTGTCTTTAGGCTTGGAATCTCTCTTCTTAGACTGGGTTCATTCCAGACTCTCCACTGGTCTCTGATACCCTGCTTAGACTCTCAGATGGTAATGAGTGGTTCTCATCACCACCTCCCCATCTTTGCCAACTCTTATCCTGGATGAATTCTTCCATGCAGACCCCCCAATCTCCATGAGATCTCTGGTGAAAAAAGATAGTTCTCCAAGCAATCCTGTGAAGGATAAGGATCCCTGGACACCATGGAGATTCACTGATCAGCCAGATCTACATCTTAATAGAGAAAAGTGAAGCCTAGAGAAGCTAAACCAGTTGCCCAAGGCCATCCAGAATTAGAACTTGGCCCTCCTGACTCCCAATGCATGGCTTTTCTCATTAAATCCCATGTCAAATTTCTGAGTCTTCAGATAGGACTAATGTGTTGGAGCAGATTTGGGGGTTTTACTGTTACAATTTGTTCAGAGAGTTTGGGATTTGATCAATCCTGCTCATGTTGTTTTGTATGCATTAATGAATGAATGATTATACAGGTATAGATCCAGCACCTTTTGTTCAGAGTAATATTTTTAGTTAAGATAAATTATCCTTATGAACAGAGACAGAGCTTGAAAACAAGTTCATCCATAAAATTCCTTCACCTTCTACGATTAGCTTCATTGTGCTTTCGCCTCTTCCATCTGGTGTGATGGCTGAGCACTTGTACATCGCTTCATCCATGAAGTTCACATTTCTTAGTAGAAGTGACAGAGACCCCTCAGAAATTTCATTCCGATCCACTGAAACTCTTCCTTCATACATGGCATTTTGATCTTCTAGTTGCTCTGTGTTATTGCCAAACTGGTAAACTAACTTCGTGAAAACTTCAAAGAAATCATAGTACCGGAAAAAGCGGTAAAATTGCTCATCATCATCTACTTCATATTCCTCTCTGATGTCCTCTCTTTCCCAAGAAAATTCAAGATTTTCTGTGCCCTCCACAAAGGAAAAATGACAGGAGAGGGTAACATCAGTGAAGGGATGGGCCCGCAACTCTTCTTCCCACACTGAGACTGTCAAAGGAGAAATGAAGTTAGTAAAGACCAATGATCACTGCACCAGATAGGGTTTAATGACAGATCAGAGAATAATTCCAGCTATTTCAAGTGGAAAAGGACTTAGTTTAGAAGTTTATAAAATCACTAGAAGGCTGGAGGGATGAGACTGAAGCAGGACATGGAAAGATGAGGCTTCTAGAGTGTGTTTTTCCTCCTTCACAGCATGCTAGGCTCAGAATGACTCAGCAGAACTGGTTAGCTGAGTTGCTGCTGCCTCTGCCTTATTTGGAAGCTGGTGAATCAGGAGGCCATCACAGCAGGTGCTGGCTCTACAGCCAAACTGTATCTGCCAAATTCACATTGGCAAAGGAAAGGATGCCTCGTGTGCTATGTAACCTTTCTCTCCACTTCAACCAGTTGCCAATTTAACCCTTGCACAAGTGTATCTGATTGGCAGAGCCTAAGTCACTCCCAGAAATCTTAACGGCAAAGCCATCTTGGAAATGTAGCTTTTATTATCCAGCTTTAGTAATCCAGAAAAACACATCAGAAAGAAAGAAACAGATGTTCAGTAAATAAACCTATCCTATTTGCCAAAAATACCTTCCAGCCTAGGCAGTTAAGGAGTAGGGAGTACAGTAGGGAGTACAGCCATGACCCATGTACTCTTTAGACAATCCTAGCATGGAATGGAATCCAGGTATGTTAGAGCTAGAAGAAAGTTTAGAGATCATCTGATTCAATGTTTTCAAACTATTTTTCCCAGAACTCACACCAGAGGTCACCACTGATGGTCAGAGGACGACCAAAACAGTGGAATCTCCACTCCCTTACCATTTGAATTAGGATAATTCCTCTCTAATTATTTATAAATTAAGCTTCCAAATTCAGAATTCTCCTGTCAAATGTCTCTGTTGCTAAAAGACAAAACTGATTCCCAGGAAGAAGTTATTCAAGATCACAAATTAAAATACAGTAGCATTGTGCAAAGAAACATCTCTCAGAGTTTAAAAGGGACTTTTAATATCATGGCCACCAAACTCTGAGTGGTGTGTCTGTGTGTGTGTGTGTGTGTGTGTGTACGCGCGTGTGTGTGCATTTTGCTGGGGACTGAGCCCAGGATTTCACACATGCTAGAAAAGCACTCTACCACTGAGTAACATACCTATCCCATTACCAAATTTTTTGCCTATAGGATAAATTCCCAACATGAGTAAGACAGAATAAGACCTAAGCATTATGAAAGAAAGCTTTTTTTTTCTCCTAGAGGCACTGTGCTAGTGGCAAACAGCAGAAAGGAGGAAGAGCTGGTCAGTGTGAACTGCATGCGGTTTGACTGCATAAGGATACTGCTTGATACAATGATGTGAGAGGAAATCAAAGAAACAGGTGAAGCATTACAGTAGGAGCAAATCCAAATGATTGAAGTTAGTGAGCAAGGAAGCTCCCAAGCCATCAGCCCAGCAAAGAACAGCTGGACTCACATCCAGGAGAGGAGCCTTTAGCTGAATAATAGACATAATCTGCTTTTTCTAGTAGCAATGGCCACATGGCCCAGATATTTGGTGAAATATTACTCTGGGTGTGTCTGTGAGGGTGCTTTTGGATAAGATGAACATCTGAATGGACCAACTCAGTAAAGCAGTTGTCCTCTCTAATTTTTCAGTTTTCAGCCAATGGAAGTTCTAAACAAAACAAAAAAGCTGACCCTCCTACAAAAAGGAATGTCTCCTGTCTAAATGCTTGAGCAATCATTTTTTGCTTTCAGGCTTGAAGTAATACCAGTCTTTTCACTCAGGCTAGAACTACACCACTTGTTTTCCAGCTATCCAACTACAAATCGTGGGACTTCTAACCTCCATGAGCCAGTTAGTTCCTTCTTCCCATCCCTTTCCCTCCCCTTCTCTTCCCTCTCTTTTTCTGTTTTTCTAGTGGACCCTGACTACACTGGGTAATCTTTATTGAGAATTTACAATTGCTAAACATATTCTAAACACTTTTCTGCCTTAATTCATTTAACCTGCATACTACATTGTGGCAATACTACTATTATCCCTAATTTACTACTGAGAAGACCAAGGCCTGTGAAGTTGCTCAAGGATACACAGCTTGTGAGTAGGAGACTAAGACTGAAACCCTAGGGTCTGACTCCAAAGCTTTATTGTGAAACATGGTTTTCTGTCTCCTAACAATAGGCACTCATTCTAAGTTTAATGAACACATGAGTGACTAGTGAATGAATAAATGAGTGAATATAAAGAAAGGATGGAAAAGAAGAGACCGAGAGAGATAACATATAACTTTTAAGACAGATGAATTTGCAATTAAAAATATCAAGTGTTTTCTTCCTCAAACCATTAATTTTCACATGTGGTTTTGGTCAAAAAGCAATGTTTTTAAAGTCCTGATCTGAAGAATTGTAAATCCAAGTTCTAGTTCTAAGTAACCCCTTATAGTACTAGTCATTTACCATCAGGCAAGTTACTCAATCTCTCTGATTGCAGTTTCCTCATGTACAATTAGGATAAGAACACCTGCTCCAGGGTTGTTATGAACTACCTTGGGATCCTAGAAACTATTTTCCTGACAGGACTCAGTCATTTTCCAGGGGGACAGAAGGAGGAGAGAAAATGAGTGGATAGTTTAGTAAGCTGCCTCCACCTCCATCTCTCTCACAAGGATATGTAGGGGTCCTTGATAGTAGCTTCTCCAATTCTACATAGGGGGCCTTGCTACAGCTGTATCCTTTCAGGTCCCAGAGGGAAGGGTCTTAGACTCAGGCATCCAAAGGCTGGCCAACAAATTATGAAACATGGTCTACTGAGGATATACCATAATAAGCCAGCTTCTCACTGGTATGTCTGCAGATGGTCCTGTTTGAATCTAAATAACTCCTTTGTCTATTTTAATCTGTTATTTCCAAGCCATTGTGTCTGAAAACTATAGAATGATACTATCTGGTATAGTACCTGGCACATACCATTAGTTGACAATATTGCTATAAATTATAAGATATTATTAGAACAAACAGACACATCTTTTTCATTCTCACCTGAATATACACCCATTCTTTTTTTTTTTTATTTGACAGAGTTTATACTGAATATGAATGATTACCAACTCACTTTGCCTCACTGCACCCTTACACATACACACGCGCTTGTGCACACACACACAGTATCAAGAGAAAAGAGTAGTAGATACAGCCTGGTAGGCCTCGCACTAACTTCTCAGTTATCTCTGGAGCAAGCTGCTGCCACCTTTAAGAGCCTGGCAGAACTGCTGTATAGTCCCTGAGGATGGCACATGCCTGAAGACTACAATGTGTTTGATCACTGTACAAAGGAGTTACATTGCAGGGTTTAAATAGATGGTAATTTTTAGAAATTTTAACATATTTACTTTTGTTAGCTGAATTACAATAACATTTCCCATATCTTTATTTTAATCTATCACCAACACTTTTGAAGAAAGTGAGTGTAAAGAGTTACATAAAGTGTTCACCCAGGTTTTTCAGGGCAGACGTGATTTCAGACATTTTGGATGCTATAGTACAAATTGGCACCTATCACAGTCACTTCAGGAGAGGTCTCAATTTTTACTTTCATTTTGGTTAAGAGGCTGACACTACAGATATGAATGGGTTACTCATATAAATATGGCTTCAAATGGACAAATCAAGTTGGGGGGTAGGCAGCTCTTCTCATTATAAAAAAGAAAGTAGAATGAACAAAATGCCTTACAATATATGTCTATTTTCTCATCTGCCCATCATCATTTCCTATAAAGCCAACATAGCAGGTATTCATAATTTCCATTTAACAGATGAAAATGAAGTTTGAAGGGATGAAGTCAATTTGCTGCTTTGTTTGTTTGGTTGGATTTTCTCTCCAAGCCACTATTTTCCCCAGTATCCCCAAAGTTGTTTCAGAAATACAAAGTTTTTAGAAAAATGACTCACCTTCACCATGAAGAAGTAGAAGTAGGTTGGCAGACAGCAAAAAGAAGAACATTCTGTGAGAAACAAAAAGAAAAACAGGAAATTTGCTTTAGCTAGGAAAGAGTATGGGCCAACATTACCGGAGCCACCTGCTGCCTGGTTGTGGGAAAGTTCTCCTGAGCATCACCACTAAACTCCACTCCACCAGGCACACCCAGCTGACAGAGGCTCCTAGCCCTTCAGTACTCCCCATGAGAATGTCATCTGAGCTAAGTTCACTCAGGTCAATCCTGTGCAGGTTGTTTTGCTATATTATTTTTAGAATATGGAAATCTGTCTCTCTAGGTGAGTCCCAGTTGAATTCATATGGACCCAGAGTCAGCCCTAAAGATGAGGTTTGAAGGACCAGTGACAGTATCCCAAGCAATGTTCACTGGTGTCTCAATGTCACTGGAGCAAGTTGAAGGTGGAGGAGACATAAAGGTTTATCTGGAAATGTATGGCGGCTTCCTAAGCAGGGGGAAAAAAAAGCTCTGAGAGAGAGAGAGAGAAAGAGAGAGAGAGAGCGCTAAACATGCCTGCCAACCCAGAGCTGGACTTTAATGGGACTTAGTGGACCTGGGACATCTCTGGAAGGAGTGGGAAAAAGGGAACAGGGAATACTCAGCCTCTGAGAAGCTTCAGCACAAGTGCACATCTGCCTGCAAGTAAAGCCACAGATAGGAGCTGCATCCAGCCTCTCTCTCTGGCCTCATCTCTCATTAGTCTCCCACACTTTAAGTCCCACAGGTATCATCCCAATGTTGTGGCTATGTCCAAACCTCTGTGTCTGGTACATTGCACCTCATTACTGTTCTCATATACCCCTGTTACTCACTTACTCAAAACTCCACCCCCCAACCTCATAGCCAGTTAGTCACTTCTTCATGACCTTGAACATAGCTTCATAATGAATCATGCTATATGTCACTGTCTTTACATGTTCTTTTGTCCCTTACTATTTCAAAGAAAGAATAGTAAAATAACCATAATCTCTTAGCATATATTTCACCTCTTCTTCTCCTCCTCCTCCTCCTCGTTATATTTCTATTAAAGGAGAAAAAACTCCACCACAATCCTCCATGTCTACCTGTGATACATTATACCAACTATATGGCATATGCTTACAAATGCTAATTTTAATTTCCTAAATAAGCCTATGAAGTGGGTTGCTATTATCACCTCCATTTAGTAGATAGAAACTAAGGCATAGGTGTGGGGGCATTGGCCAGAGGTATGTATGCGATGGATATGCAGAAGTAAGGGGGTCACACGTCCAAAACCTTCTGGAATGCATGGTTAGAGATTAAAAGATAGCCTAGAGGGCCACAAGTCCAAGTAGGATCAAACACATTGCCTTACGGAGAATGCTCTGTCCCTTGTCCTCCCCATACTCCAACTTATTGCTTAGATTGGCCCTAAGGTTAGTCATTTCACAGACCACCCTGACCTTTCCCTGTCCTTCCCCTGACCCCTACATGAATTCCTGCACAGGTGTCCTTTATCCTTGCTTCCGGGTTCTATCAATACAAAGCCACAGAAGCTTCAGTTTGGGACTGTTTTTCCTGAGACTCTCATGCTGAGGCAGCCCTTCGGGACCATCTTAGAGGTTAAACTGCACCATGGACTCCAAGAGGTTTCATCCTTCATGCCGTGCCACGGTCATGAACTGTGACACACAGAGAGCATAAAAAATTCATCCAAGGCCACACAGAGCAAGACTCTCACCCTGCAGGTTAGCTGAAGCATGAGCATTTCACCTAAACTGTGTCCTGGCAAGCCTCTGCTGCTTCACCTGCACTTGCTGGAAACCCCCGCTCCCAAGCAGGCATTCATCAAGGGAACAGGAAGTTTATTGGCTGTTGAAGCAGATGGTTTATGGAGAATCACAGTAAGTTTCTTTCCTAGAGGTCTGTTAAGCCCTAGAAAATATGTGTGCTGTGGGTTGAATATTAACAGGTACAGAAGTCTCAAGAAGAATAGGAGGATAAAGAAGTAGCCATTGCCAGCCTGTGACTAAGGTCAGTGGGAAAAGTAGATTGGTAACCAAATCTACATACGTTAACCAGGAATATGTAGTGATTAACATTACCTATTGACTTAGAAAATATCTCTCCATGGAGGATATAGTAAAATATTTTAAAGACATACCCAAAATAATAAAATTTAAAAGATAACGTGGCAGGAAACAGCTACTAGAGCTATAGATACTTAACAAAGAGAACTACAATCAAATGTCCGGAAGAAAAAAAAAGTTATAGGAATGCCTTTTCAACTCAATAAAATTTCATCATTAATTTCCAGGCTATGAAAGTTTTTTATCATTATGGCCTTCCTGATTTCCCCACCAAACCCACACATAATCCTTGCTCCTGTGCATTTTCTACTGCCATATAGTACTCTCATTCATTTAATAATGCTTATTTTAATGATCCTAATATACCACAGTTTAAACTTTTTGAAAAAAACAGAAAAATGTCTTTAATTCTTTGGAGTATTTCTTTCAGTCTTTTACATGAGGTTGTTGTATTTGTTTTGGGGTGTTTTGTTTTGTTTTGGGTACTGGGGATTGAACCCAGGACATTTGCACTGAGCTACAGCCCCAGCCCTTTTTATTTTGAGACAAGGTCTCACTAAGTCACTCCATTGCCCCAGGCTGGGCTCAAAATTATGATCCTCCTGCCTCAGCCTCCCACAGTGCTCAAATTTCAGGCATGAGGCGCCATGTCTGGATGGATGGATGTGTACTTTTTAAGAAAATTCAATTTGTGTATATAGTTTAGTGTCCAGTTAAATTTTCTTCATATTATTTTGTAGGTATCTTTCCATCATTCAATATTTATAATCTGATCTATTCATCTTATTGTTATTTACGTGCATATCTTACCCACTAGGCTGTAGGTTCCCTAAGGGCAGGATTAGGTCCTCTATCTTTCATATATCTATCTTGGTGTTCTATATATTGTAGAGCCAATAAGTGCTTATTGAAATACAGAAATTTAATTAAATGAAATCCAGTGTAAGATTCTTATAAAATTTCATAGTATAAAAGGAAAAACAAAAACAAAAAGAATTCATACACTACTAAAGTTGAATATAAATTATGCTAAACAGAAAATTCCAACCTTGTACCTAGGTCTTGCCTCCAGGGCTTATACTCTTCTCAGATCTGGTTTGCAGAAAACAATGAGAAGTCTATGAACTAGATCTGTATGGCAAAATAAACATAAAGGGGCCAGGTACAGTTAGGGTAGATACCTCAGTATTTCAGGCACACTGGCAGTCATTTGACTCCAGTTCACAATTACAGTCAATAATTTCTCCCAAATAAACAGCTCCTTAATCCAACGAGCTTACCTGTATCACAGCTGGTCCTTCTGATCAGCTGGGTGAGAAGCAAATGAGTGGAGTCCACTTGTCTTCAAAGTGATAGTTGTATGGCAGTCCTCAGGGAGAGGGCTTGGAGACACTGTCATTACCAAGCTGTTGCCACAAACACTCAGTGCTCCATTATTTCTAGAGCTGTCTTTGTTGGCTAAAGAAAGTGCTTGCAAGGTAATGTGGTGGAAGACTGAAACTAAAAGACGACTGTATGACCAATGTTGGGCAATTGTTCTTTACCCATTTTTTAAACATTATATTTACTGGAGGATGATTAAATAACATGGGGAAATGCTCACTGTACAATTTTTGGTAGAAAAAACATACAAAGTACAGCTGGGCATGGTGGCACATGCCTGTAATCCCAGCACTTGGGAGGCTGAGTAGGAGTTCGAGGCCAGCCTGGACTATATAGTGATTTCAAGGCCAGCTTGAACTACATAGTGAGACCCTGTCTCAAAACAACAATAACAACAAAATGCAAAACATATATATATATGATTTCAAATTTATGGAAAAATATATGCTTATAGGAAAGGAAGGAAATATACCAAAATACTAATAGTGTTTATTTCTGAATGGTGACCTTGTGTATGATTTTAGCATTTTCATTACTTATTGCCGAATTTTCTATATTGACCTTTTACACTATAAAAAAACTGTAACTGGAAAAATAAAATAATGGAAAGACAGACCTTGTACACATAATGAGGTACAGAAAGTAAGGGTACAGAAAGGAGTAAGGAAATGAGATGTATCTTTATTCTCTTCCTCTGATTGATAAGTATTGTGTCTCCTGTAGGATGCTTTGTTTACTAAACTTTAGGCTCAAGTTCAGTAGTGGCCAATTCTTTATTAAGGTAACTTTCCCTCTCTCATTCCCACAGCACAGTTTAAAAACCAGATTACCCTAGCCCTGGTGTTATAAAAATCTCCTGGATTTTGATTCTCCTGGCTAGCTACACCAAAATGTTATTGAGTTCTGGGTTCCTCAACTCTCCTTCTGGAGCTGGATTCCAGGTTTTTCTCATCTTGAATAAGAAATGAATGAAATGAGCAAAAAACAGTGGAAACGTTTATCTGAAAAAGTAAAAGTGAAGACTGAGAGAGAAACTGGCTCTGCAGAGTGAGCTTGGGCCAAATAAAAGGAAAAAGTAAGATAAAAGTACACCCTGGAGAAATCAGGGCCGGCTATCATGAGGAAAAGTCATGATATCAAGCTCTTCTTGGTGTCTGTCTTTTTATGCTGTCCAAATCTTAAAGCAACCCATGAGAACTTCTACATGCTGGTACTGAGAGGTGGTGCTGGGATTCCACAGCTCAGGCTGAAGTCAGGTCTAGGCATCCTATTGAAAATCCGCTCGAGTTCTCCAAAGAAGTTCAAGTGCAGGGCTTGGAGAACTGTTCTGTGCATGTGTTCCCAGATCTTGTAACCATAGGTCATGCCTATTTCCCCAGCCAGTTTTGCATGCCCTAATCTCCTATGTCACTGAAATAGCCTAGATGAACTTTAGTCATGGGTTTAAAGAAACGCTTCTCTGGTAAGTAGATTTATTAGAACAGAACAAATAAGATGAAAACAAGAATGGGAGGCCTGCTGGGAGGTGTGTTGCTTTTGTTCAGCTCCTATAGCACCTAGCATATTTTGCTTAGT